GTTTGCTTTGTATTTTGGAAGGTGAAACTCTAGTAGCATTTACCGTAGGGATAGTTACATCCTACTACTTAGGTGTGAGCTTTTCCTCTGTGAATGCCCGGGGCGGGGGTGGTGGGGAGGTCAGTGAAATGTCTATATTCCAACTTGTGAAAGTTTAAATGCTTCCCAGTCCTCTGTGAGCTGTGGGCACTGTCCATCTTTCCCCCCCTTTGCTCAGCCTGTGGCGTTCCATCCGACTCAGGCACAGTATTCAACAATAAACTCAAGGGCTGCAGCGTTTCCCTGGTGCTCCTTTTCTGTGTGGCTCTATCTTCTGTGGTGGTCTGTCCTACAAATTACAGCTGCCTGAGTGCTGTCTCTTCAATCGTGTCTAAGTCTTTGCGATGCTGTGGGCTGTAGCCCGCCAGGCTCCTCGGGCCATGGGATTCTCCAGGCAAGAATACTGGAGTGGGTTGCCGTGCCCTTCTCCAGGGGATCTTCCCAGCCTAGGGGTTGAACCCGTGTCTCGTACGCCTCCTGCATTGGCAGGCAGATTCTTTACCATTAGCACCACCTGTGAAGCCTGAACCGCTCCAAATTCCAATTATGCCCCTCAGTTCAGCAAAACCACTGTGTTCTAAATTGGTTCCAGGCAGAAAGCCAGGATGGTGTTGGTACTCGGCTGTTTTCTTTCTCTTCTCTCAGCAATCAGTTAGGCACTGCCTGTTGTCTAATGTTTTAAAGGTTTTTTTTTTTTTTTAATATATATTTTGTTCACTTGTTTAATTATTTACAGTGGGAAGGCAAGTCAGGTTCCAGATGCTCCATCACTGTAGAAGTTCCTAGTAATTATTTAGATTCATTTCATCTGAAGTAAAATGCTTGTAAAGTATGAAGGAGTTATGGTTAAAGCACCTGTTCCAGTGCCTGGCACATAGTAGGCTGAAATTTTATAATACTGGATATTATGATTATAATAATTTTCATTGATATCATTCAGTGGAGGCTCTATTAACCCAGGAATTCACTGACAGCAGTGACTTTTGATTTCTTATCTTTCTCATTTTAATTTATCCAAGGGAAGCATACAGAATTAAACAGTACACTTTTAAATTTGCATAAATACTACCAAAAGTGATACCTACTATACAGAGTGCCTCTTAGAAAGTAGTAGATTGAAAAGCAATTGGAAAAGATTTAAAGCTCAGACTGATTTCTAGCCTTAGTCAAGTAAAAATTTCATTTCGTATTCTCTTTGCAAATGTTATTCAAGCACAACGATGATTTAAAAGTAATTGATTTTCCCCACTCAAATAAAAAACGTAAGCAACTCAAGAGAAAAGTAATCTGGCTCAAGCCAGCAAAAGCATAAAGATTTATTAAGTAAAATATGAGTGGAGAAAGATGATATAATGTACTGAAGACTCTTCTACTAAAATAAGCTAGAATGCATATTTCTTAGAGATCGAATGGTGAGGTGTTGAAATGTACATAAAAATATAATACTACTAATACAAAGAAACATAAATGAAACCCAATTTACTCCCTATGTGCCCAGTTGCTCAGTCATGTCTGACTCTTTGTGGCCCCATGGACTGTAGCCCACCAGGCTCCTCTGCCCATGGAATTTTCCAGGCAAGAATACTGGAGCAGGGTGCCATGCCCTCCTCCAGGGCATCTTCCCAACCCAGGGATCTAACCCATGTCTCTTGTGTCTCCTGTATTGGCAGGTGGATTCTTAACCACTAGCACCACCTGGGAAGCCCATTATTTGTAATAAATATTCACATACTTTACATAAAACTAATAACAAAGTGCATTATTACTCTGAAGCAAAGAGAGCAGTCATCTTTGAATTTCTCCTGATTGAAATTTTCCTTGAGTGGCTCCATCATCAGAATCACCACATATTCCTCCCCCAAGCATGCAACATTATGACCTCAACTGTAGCCAATTAAGGGATAACAATTCAAGTAGAAATGTTGGCATGTTCATCTGTAAAATAGGCCAGTGGAGTAAATCTAAAGATATCTTTGAAGTGTGAACTGCTCTGAGATTCTTCCCGAGTACCCATGCTGTGGAAATAGCTGCTTGCTATTTGGGCTCCAGACTGGCATGGAGCTTTATCGTAAACTAATGCCACTGAACACCAAGTGTAGCTCTAAGAACACGGTGGTGATGAAAACCAGATTGAGATAGGTTTGGGACTCTCTCTGGGTCCTGGTTCTTTGGTTCCTGGGTCTTAGAGAGTTGATAAATGTCTGTAGCATAAGTTAATCCTATTTTCCCCTGCCATTCTCTATTCCTACCAAGTCCTTCCAAATTAGTGAGTGTCAAGAAGAGATAAATCTGAGGATCTTGGACTTTTCTCAACTATTTTAGAACCACTTGGGGCTCTAAGAGCCAAAACATGCATTAGGGCTGCTCTGGACCTGAACTTGGCATTTATCTCCCCAGGAAAGCTCTGGATCTGAGCAGGACTGGACTGACAGCTCCAGGACTGCCCAGAACTTAGGGAATTAGAAAGGTTTGACACTGATGTCAAACTTCTTGAGCAAGTGGGGCTTTTGAGTTTTGCTAGGCTAACAACCCATTCCAGTGTTCTCTCATGGAGAATCCCACAGACAGAGGGGCCTGGTGGGTTACAAACCATGGGGTCGTAAAGAGGTGGACAGGACTGATCGACTAACACTTTTGCTTTCAGGCTGTGGACGTAGGGAGAAGTCAGGTCATTTCTGTAGCTATTGCTGCGAAGGTGGCAAAACATCTTATTTCAGAATTTGCAGTATTCAGATAGCCAGGGAAAGAAAGCTATTGTTTAGTAAATACCTCAGTCAAGCTTGTCTTGCTAAATGGATGGAAAGCAGTACTGATATGTATATTTTCAGGGCCTTTGATTTCATCCTTTTATTGTTTCTCAGCACGTTCTTGTTTATATGTCTCTTCAACTAGTCTATACCATGGAATGCCATTTGTAATAGTTTAGTCTATGCGCTTTTCCAGTCAGAGTGATTGCCCCATTAATAGCAAGACAACCTTTGAAATAGGTTAGTAAGAGGCAATCAATTTCATGTCTTTCCTATTGACATAAATGACTGTATTTATTGCAGGAAACAAATTCACTTAGACACTGCTGAATTATAATCAACCTAGTAGGACATGGACGTAGTAAATGTTTCATTTGACAGATTTTACTTTAAAAATAGATGCCAGGTGTGAAAAAAGTGTGAAATGAAACAGACACAAACTATTTTTGGTTTGAGATTTTGCCTCTAAAATGGTCTGTGAGCGACACATGGTGGTTTGATAAATGCAAGGTAAACCTATGGCAGATAGAAAAGCACTTTAACACTAATTAAATAAGCCTAGAAGCAATTACCCAAATGCATACTGAGACATTGCCTTTGAAGATTGACAAAATATTTGATTTTGCTCCTTTGCTTTAGTTATGACAGTAGCAGTGCTCAGAGATTTTTTTTTTTAAATATCACGTTTTTCATTTATCTCAGCAAATGGAGGTATATTTAGGTAGCTTGGGATTGACATGTACACACTGCCATGTTTAAAATGAATAACCAACAGGAACCTACTATATATATAGCACAAGGAATTCTGTTCAATGTTATGTGTCAGCCTGGATGGAAGGGGAGTTTGGGAAAGAATGGATATATGTATATGTATGGATGAGTCCTTTTGCTATCCACCTGAAACTGTCACAGCATTGTTAATCAGCTATACTTCAATACAAAATAAAACATTTTTTGAGAAAAGATAGCAAGAGGTTTCTACAAAAAAAGCTTGGTTTTTCTCATTTTCAAACTTTTAAGTAACTGCCTCAATTTGAAGTATCCTGTATTCAGTTTTGATGTCACCTCTTTTAGAGGTGTACTTATTTAGTGTTGACTCATAGTCTGGCTTTAAATCACACAAAGACAGCTTCGTATTGGTAACTTCTAACAACAAGGTATTGCTTGTAAGTTGGCTTTCGGCCACAGTGGCATCAGCCCACGTTCTGGTTTGTTAGTTTAAACCAGGCTTTCTCTGAGAGGGGCAAGGATGCCCCCAGATGTTGGGAGTAGCAGTGAGGAGCCCCAGGTCACGATTTTTGTTATGGATGGACCCAAGCAGTGGTGAGCTCCCCTCGGGCACTGTTCCCAGGGAAGATGGGTTAAAGCCTGGGCTCCCCCAAGAGATCACAGCTTTCTTTCCTTAGGTGGGCTTGATGCTCTCCCTGAAGTGGATCCCGGGGTTTGGAAAGGAGATTGCATTTGTATTACTGACTCAGGCTAGGCATGCAGCTGCGCCCTAGAACTATCCAGAAAATAGATATCCAAACAATGTACAGTCAAACACTTGGCTCCAAAAAAAAAATCATAAACTGTGAGTTTTTTGGCTTTCCGGAGCTTCAGAAAAACAAGAAGATTCAGCTGATTCCATCTAAAACAAAATGATTTCTTTAATAAAATCAGGAACCCAGGTTTGTTTCTCCGATAAACCATGAAAGGATTACTCAGACATGGGAATCAGCTTCAGATCACGAATTTGATAGATTAAAGGAGATTCTTTTTACCGGCACAATTTCTTTTCTTTTTAAAGTTTTACTGGAATAAAGGATGTCTTGTCTGGAATTCTGGGAGACTTCTGCCCTTTGTGCAAACAGCCGGTTGGGCTGCAATGCAGGCGAGCATGTGTGCGCAGTCACCTCAGTCGTGTCCAACTCTGTGCGACACTATGAACCGCAGCCCACCAGGCTCTTCTGTCCATGGGATTCTCCAGGCAAAAATACTGGAGTGGGTTGCCCTGCCTTCCTCCTGGAGATCTTCCCTACCCAGGGATCAAACCCACATCTCTTATGTCTCCTGCATTGGCAGGCAGATTCTTTACCACTAGCGCCCCTTGGAAAGTCCATGGAGAGCATGAGCCTAGCCAAAGATCTTTGCTGATCTCACCAGAGAAGTGACGGGGGTCAGAGCTACTGGGGCAGCTAGCTGGCTCACTGCTGCTTTGCTTTATCTCCTTAGGGGATGAGTGTGACATCGACATCAATGAATGTGACAGTAACCCCTGCCATCACGCCGGCACCTGCCTGGACCAGCCCAATGGTTACACCTGCCACTGCCCACATGGCTGGGTGGGAGCAAACTGTGAAATCCGTGAGTATTCCTGCAGCTCCGCCCCTGTGGTTTTCCATTCCATTTTCATTCAGTGAGCAGAAGAGGCTGGCTGTGTCCAGCCAGCCCCACGTCACTCTTAGAAGAGCCAGTGAGGCCCAGAGCGCTACCCTGAGCACCCCGTGCCTCCCAGGTCCCGGTTGAATGTTTTTGCTCACTGCTTTCTGCTGCTCCCCCTCCTTTCTGAGCCTGAACCCAGCCTTCCCACCGGGATGAGAATGCGCCAATGTCATCCCGAGTTCACGGCTGCAAGATAGCCAAAAATGTGCTTAGCAGAGAAGCATTAGAATCTGATCCAAAAAGAGAATCTTTGTGTTGAAAGTATAAATTAAAACACACACACACACACACACACACACACAGAACATACATTCACTTCACATTTGTGTCTTCAAATGTATTAGGTTCCATCAGTTGCCCGGAGAGAAGTCCAGGGAGGATGGGCATCACACAAAACCTGAAAAACATTTTGAGCTGCTTAGAGCGAGGTGTTCTCTACAGATGGACTCACAGAAGTTCAACAGTGTCAGAATCAGGACTGTGTATGTTAATAAAAAAGTCAGGTAGCTACTAGGGATGGAGGTGAAAATGAGAACTGCACTGGAATTGGGTTGTTGTTTTGTCAATCGCTAAAAACTCAACTTTGAATGGTGCTTTTCTTCTCATTTAAATTAAGCAGGGCAGTTGAGTTTGCATGTTTCTCCGGGGCCTTCTCGCCTCTTCCTCATCAGGCAGGGACTCTGCTTTGTGAGTTTGGAAAGAGGCAGCTATGTAGACCTGCTTGTCAGTCTCCCTCCTGGGCTGGCCTGCCTGCTGCTGCTTCTCCTCCAGGTTGCAGTGTTTCAAGAACAGACCCCTCACTGGTGGTCCAGCATGGGCTTGTCTGCTAATTCTTAGTGTGTGTCTGAAGTGGGGTGTGGTCAGCATCCAGAAACCTTTTTATCCACAAATATGGACCATATGCTTCAGCATCAACTTGACCGGTAAAAGTATTTGCATTCCTTTCTACTCATTCTTTGTCTCTCATCTTGGCTCGGGGCTTGACAGAGGAAGAAATGAATTCTTTTTAGGACTCCCCACTCAATCTTTTCAAATACTCATCCTCAATCTTTTCGAATACCCATATACAGAATGGCCTTAGGGATCCTTGGTCACAATAGGTGAGAAACTTTCTGTTGTTGAAGAAAGGGAAGGAGAGATTCCAGTGGTACAAATGCTAAGGGCTATGATTCAATGAAGGATATTAAGACTAAAGTAGGTCAAGGATGATTAAGTCCTGTCTGGTGAGATCTACTGAAGGAAAGGATCCCAGATTTGGGCCAATAGGCCCTTGGTTCTTGCCCTGGCGGTGGCACTTCTTGTGTTGGTTGTGCTGAGCCTCAGAGTACTTATTCAGTACTGATAAGTACATAAGTACTTATTCAGAGTACTTATGAAAGTGGGGCCCATTTTCATTCTAAAATTTGTTAATTCTGTGAAATGACAAATTTCATGCCTCATGGCAGATCTATGTATAATTTAAAATTTCTAGTTGTGAAAATAAATATATAGGAGAGGAGAGTATGGATAAGAACTCAGAAACACAAAGGATGCCCTTGAGAAGTTTTGAAGTATAATCATATCATTATTTTTTTAAAAAATCTAAATTTTACTTCTTTCTGGTGATGATATTATAGGCAAAAGATAAACATGGATGGAATTATCAGGATGAAAGGTGATCTCATGTTCTAGTGACATCATATTCTAGCTCTGTGACCTGGACAAATAATTATATCTCAGCCTCATCTTTCTCACTTGTAAAATGGTGATAGAAAAGTTGCTGGGAGGATTAAGATTAAGGATCCTTTGTGCAGATCTCTGCTTTGCAGCAGTAGACACTAAATAGATGCTAGTTGCCTTTTCTCTTTCTTTCTATGCTACTGTAGCTCTTATACCTGAGCCAGCTGGTGAGGACTTGCCTTTGACAATCACATTTTTAGAGGATATATGCCCAGGGCACAGGCCGCTCTGAGTGTGTGGATGTGTTGGGCACATCCCAGTACACACTGGCTTCCCTGTTCTCCCAGAATAGCACTTTCCATTCGATGATCTCACTTGCACCTCTCCATTCAGTCAAAGGTGTTAAAAATAAATGTTATCACAGATAAGGCTCTGTCGGGTCACAGTGTGGGTTGCTTCCATCCATGACCTGACTGTAAGAAGGGAGAATGGATGTGTAAGATTTGTGACGACACACAGGTGGAGCTGGTGACCAGTGCCAAGATAAATGGACCTGAATCAAAAGAACAGATCTAAGGGCCAGGAATGAAAGGAAAGTTTGGGCCATGAGTGGGCAGAGATGATATGAGTTCTGTAGTCCTCTGTGAGCCATGGGACCCATGGTCTCTGAGTTTCTTTCTAACCTGGAACATCTGTGATTTTCTGAATTGGCTGGAAACTAGGAGGAGGGTGCCTGAAAGATACAAGGTCAGGTTGGTAAATCTCAACAGGAATGCTCAGAAGGAGAACAATGGTTCTGTTAGAGTTACAGACAGTCCTGCTGATTGAGAATCAGCCAGTTCTATACACTGAGTCAATCCTAAAGGAAATAAATCCTGAATATTCATTGGAAGGACTGATGCTAAAGCTGAAGTTCCAATACGTTGGCCACTTGATGCAAAGATCCAACTCGTTGGAAAAGACCCTGATTCTGGGAAAGGTTGAAGGCAAAAGGAGAAGGCAGCAGAGGATGAGATGGTTGGACAGCATCACCAACTCAATGGAAATGAATTTGAGTAAACTCCAGGAGATAGTGAAGAACAGAGAAGCCTGGAGGGCTGCAGTCCACGGGGTCGCAAAGAGTTGGACACGACTTAGTGACTGAACAACAACAACAACATATATTGAGCAGTTGAATCTATTGTTGAGCCACTGAATTAATAACATTCTGCGGTTGAGAAGTAGGGGAACAGGGTATCTTGGATGCATGCTTTCAGTGAATAATCCAGGGCCTCCTATTGTCAGGTGTCAAGCATTGTTGTTGGTGTTCAGTCATGCATAGTGCCCAGAATATAAAGGTTAATGAAGCAGCCCTTGCCTTCAGGATCTCATTATCCAAGGGTCAATCCTCATATGTGATGGCAGTTGCTGTATAAGACTTCACTCAGGAAGCTCCAGGAGCCCAGGCAAGGAGCAAAGTTGGCTGTCTGGGGCTTCCTCTTCCCCAAATGCATGGAATTTAATAATGGTTGAAGAAACCCATCAAACAGTGAGATGAGCAGTCTTTATTGCACAAATAGATTCAGTTCTTTGGTTCCCATTTTTGTATAAATTAGGATTCTTAAAAAAAAAACTGGTTTAGGATTAACATATATACACTACAATATATAGACTTCCCTAGTGGCTGAAGAATCTACCTGCCAATGGAGGAGATGTGAGTTCGATCCCTGGGTTGCGAAGATCCCCCAACGAAGGAAATGACAATCCCTTCCAGTATTCTTGCCTGGGAAATCCCATGGACAGAGGAGCCTGTTCACGGTGCTCTACACCTGTAACTAGCACAACATTGTAAATCAACTATACTTCAATAAGAAATCAAAATAAAGTGAATTAATCTTCCTCCCCATCAATACACCCCTCACTTCACTCCCCAAAGGTAACAAGTGTTACCCATTTATTATGGATTCTTTCAGATGATTTTAGTCACTATATAAATCCCATTTTATGGTAGCTCAGATGGTAAAGAATATGCCTGAAATGCAGGAGACCTGGGTTCGATCCCTGGGTCAGAAAGTTCCCCTGGAGAAGGAAGTGACAACCCACTCCAGTCTTCTTGCCTGGAGAATTCCATGGACAGGGGAGCCTGGTGGGCTACAGTCCATTGGGTTGCAAAGAGTCAGACACGACTGAGCGACTAACACTTTCACTTTCATACACACTGTCCGGCATCTTGCATTTATCCTCAATATATCTTGAATGCTTATCCATGTTGACTTAGTACAGATCTTCCTCAATTTTTAACATCACACAATGTTTCAATTTCTTAAATGCTCTAAAATTTATTTAATAAGACCCCTGTTGATCAACAAATAACTTATTTTCAGGTTTTTGGTATTAAAAAGAATAGTAGAGTGAAAATTCTTATATATGCATTTACTTGTGTGAGAATATCAGAATATCAGTAGGATAAATTCTCAAAAATGAAATAGTCAAATGAAGGGGTCCTTGAATTTTTCATGAGCATTTATTTATAAATTGACTCTTTGCAAATAAAACTTCTCCTCTTGGCAGCAATGGTGTTGGGGTCTGAGGTTGATTTGCAAATCCCACTTAATCCATAATTACTTTATTAAATACTCTGAACACCACTGACCTCTGGGGAGCAATTGTGGCTAGATGTGGTTTGCAACCATCACCATCATCTTTCTTCAGAACTCTTTTCATCTTGCAAAACAGTAACTTCGCATACTTCCACCCCTAGCCCCTGGCAGTCAACTACCTACCTTCCTTCTTGTTTTCTTCCTTTCTCCCTTTTTTTGTTCCTTCCTTCCTTCCTTCCGTCACCCATCCCCCACTCCAGCCTCTAGTAACTACCATTCTACTATGGGGTTTTTTTTTTTTTCCTTTATGTTGCACATGTAACTGACATCATACAGTATTTATCTTTCTGTGTCTGGTCTGTTTCACTCAGCAGAATGTCCTCCAGTTCATCTTCGTGGTTTTAAATGGCAGGGGCATCTTTTCAAAGATGCAAATCTGAACCCTCAGACCCTCCTTCCCACCACGGTTTCCACGCCAAGCTGCTATTAAAGTACATTAACGACTAAAGACCGAAGGCCATGCTGTCACCTGTTGGAAGCTGCAGGACTGCCCCTGCACTAAGGGGAGCTGCCCCCTCCTCACTCGGCCACTCTCCGGCTCGCTTCCTGGGGGCAAGCAGCCACCCTGCCCCCTTCCAACCCCTCACTCTGCTCTCACCTCCCAGGTCTTTGCCTGGGTCAGCC